AGCTTGCTCAGGGCTTACCCCTGGCTCTGTGCCTGAGGACCACTCCTGGCAGGCTTGGGGGACCATATGGGGTGCTGGGGATTGAACCCCGGTTGGACATGTGCAAGGCAAGTGCTCTCCCCACTGTACTGTCTGTACTTTCTATGAGGCAAGAACTGTATTGAACCAGTTCAGCATCACACTTGAACACACATACAAAAGTGATCTGTTTTGGGCTTTTGGGGTCACAGCTGGCGATGGTCAGGGGTTACTCCTGGCTCTGCACTCAGGAATTAGTCGTGGCAGTGCACGGGGGACCATATGGGATGCCGGGAACAGGACCCGGGTCGGCTGTATGTATGGCAAATACCCTACCCGCTGCACTATTGCTCTGGCCACTGATTTATTAGACTACACAGTTCTGGTGGAACACCTTCTATGTTAAGCTCTCTGTGTGTGTTTGAATCTCACCCCACCTACCACCAAAGACTCTTGCAGCATCACAAAATCAAATGACCCCATGACCCCTCTCCTCACTTTTTTTCCCACCCCACTTTCTCCTTTTCCTCATAACCACCATTAAAAACAAAACACAGAATGTCGGGAGAGATAGTACGGCAGTTCGGGCAATTATCTTGCCCACGGCCAACCTGGGTCTGGTCCCTGGCACCACTGATGTTCCCCTGGGTACCTCTAGGAATGATCCCTGCGCACAGAGCCAGCAGGAAGCTCTCAGCACGGCCAAGCATGGCAGTAAATAAATAAATAAATAAATAAATAAATCGGAAACAAAGTAACACTTGGGGCCAGAGAGATATGATGGGCAAGGTGCTTGCCTTTCACACTGCTGACCTAGGTTCAATCCCTGACGCCTCATATGATCTCCCGAGCAAACCCCCATAGCAAGAAACAAAAAAAATCCCAGTACAGATATTTATATATAGTGTCTACAGTGGACTCTTGAACAATGGAAGGGGTTAGGGGCAGTTCAAATCTGCACTGTTCAATAGTTTATATACACAGATTGTGTGTGTATGCATGTGTATGAGAGAGAGAGAGAGAGAGAGAGAGAGAGAGAGAGGAGAGAAAGAGAGAGAGAGAGTGTGTGTGTGAGGGAGACAGAAACAGGACAGAGACAAGAGAAAAAAAGAGAGGAGGAGGAAGGGAGGGAGAGAGAGAGAAAGAGAGAGATTCACGCTTATTAGCAGCTGTAAGAAACTGCATGCTTTGGGGATGAATCGCCTATCACTAGTTATTCAGTTCCATGCTAGTAATGTTTGCTGTATTTCCTAACTAGGCGCCCAACAAACACGGTTTCGAGATTGGTCAGAGCCCAGTGTTGACAAACTCAAATGACTTGGCAAATTAATGACTTGAAGTTTTAAAGGAGGCAAACTCTTCCTCCCAGGTGCTCCTCCCGGGGGATGAGAATCCTTCAGAGGACCAGACGCCAGGTGACCACACACACCACGGTCCTCTGGGTTCCGCTCCTGGGCATGAGGAAAGTACCCGGGAGCTTCTCAATTCTGGGCACGAGTAAAGAGCTTCTGACACTGGAACGTTTGACGCTCCCACTTGTTGGCTGGAGAAGGTGGTTTCTTTCTGCTTTGGGGAAAGGACTTGTTTTTAGTGGTGTTGGGGGCTGAATCCAGGGCTTCACACAAGCAGGGCATGCGCTCGGCCACTGAGCCCCGTCCTGGGCCAGAAAGTCACTTATTCCCAGGGGAAACTCCTTCCCTGTGTAAATGGATTTAGGAGAAGTATTAAAGAACCAAGAGACAGACAGCGTGGCCGATTCCACAGTGCCAACAGCCACATGGCTTTATGCCCCCCTTAAAACACCATCAGTGCGGAAAGGCCAGAATCAACAGAACAAATGGCAGGCGACAGACCATTTCAATTGGAAAGCCCTCTCAGAATAAAATAGTTGACACCTAAATCCAAGGAAAAGCGTGTGTGTGTGTGTGTGTGTGTGTGTGTGTGTGTGTGTTAGGAGGAGTTGGGGGAAGAATATGGTACCTCCTGAGCATAGCCAAGAATGGTCCCAAAACAAGAGAGAAGGGAGGGAGGAAGAAAAGAGAGGAGAGGAGGGGAGGGGAGAGAGAGGGAGGAAAAGAGAGAGAGAAAAAGAGAGAGAGAGAGAGAGAGAGAGAGAGAGTGAGCATGCTGACTTTTGTGTCTTCCCCTTTAAAATCTGCCAAGACCCAAATATAGGCTCTCTGTACAAATAAGAAGGAGAAAGAGTTGAACTGAGGTTAGAAGTAATACCCCGGAGCCCATTTAAAATGTGACTAAGTCACTGTGTGACTGAAACCCAACCATGAACAACTATAACTGTGAGGGGAGAAAAAATAAAAGATAATTGAATAATTGAACTTCAGAATGTTACCAAGTTTAACAGCTGCAAAAAGCCTTGGCAGCTCTGGGCAGGAGCTGGAGGCTTCTGGTTTGTTTGCTTGTTTGGGGGCCATACCTGGCAGTGTCCAGGGGGTGACTCACTCCTGGGGGGCTCAGGGACCTCGTGCAGGGCCTGGGATGGCTCAGGTCAGCCCTACCTGAGCCAGGCAAACACCCTACCTGCTCGACTCTATCTCCAGCCCTTTTTGGGGGGGAGTGGAGGGGTAGGGAGTGAGAGGTACACCCAGTGGCACTCAGGGCTTACTCCTGGCCCTGCTCAGGGATCATCATTCCTGGAAGACCCTCTGAGGTGCCAGGATCAAACCTGGTTCAACTGTGTGTAAGGCAAGTGCCCTACCCACTGTACCTCCAAAACAACAAAAGCTCTACACCCGAATAAAAAAAGGGGGAAAACACAGAGAGAGGGATGGGGGGGGGGGGGGGGAGAGGGAGAGAGGGATGGGAAGAGGCAGGAGAGGAAGGGAAGAAAAGTAACTGTCACAGAGGCTGGCTCATGGGGGGAGGGAGGAAACTGAGGACATCGGTGGTAAGATGTGGGCCCTGGATGAGTGCTGGAACATTATTCAATCATGGACAACTTGGTAACTGTGTACCTCATGGTGATTCAATAAAAAAAAAAATTAAATAAAGAAAAATCCCCTGAGCTCTGGAGGTGCCTAGCTGGTAGGCCGCCCCCTCATCAGAATGAGCCCCCTCCCGCCCTGGCTCAGGGCTGCTCTCCCAGGCACTCTGCATTCCTCCCTCGGGGGCTCCCCTTGGACCCACAGGCTCCTTCTCTGCAACTGAAAGGCTGAGCACGTGGCTGGGAAGAAGACCCCCAGGCGGAATGTGTGTGAGCACCACAGGCTGACATGTGGCCACGGGTACTTGCATTTGTTTCTCACGGGAGTAAATCAGTAACCTTGGCGACTTCTTCACTTCCATCATCTGATATATATATCAGATATATCAATATATATATATTTTAATTTTTATTTATTTATATTTTTTGCTTTTTGGGTCCACCTGGCGATGCACAGGGGTTACTCCTGGCTCCTGCACTTAGGAATTACTCCTGGCCAATTACTCCTGGCCATGCTCGGGGGACCATATGGGATGCTGGGAATAGAACCTGAGTCAGCCGCATGTGAGGCATACGCCCTACCTGCTGTACTATCGCTCCAGCCCCTATATATATATTTTTTTAAACAAACAAATAACGCCCAAGGATTAAACTGGGCCACACAATAAAATGCACTTTTGAAACAGCAGGGCAAAAATTGTCAAACGTGGGGACAGAGAAATAATACAGGGGGGAGGGCACTCACTTTGTAGCCTGCCCACCCGAGTTTGATCCCCCGCATCCCAGACGGTTCCCTGAGCCCCCCCAAAAAACAAGTGAGTGATCCCTGAGTGCAATGCCAGGCGGAACCCCGGAGCACTGCAGGGTGTGTCCCCAAACAAAATGAAAGCCAAATGTCCGTCTTATTAGAGGATACAAATTTTCACCTGAAGTGAAATTCAGTACCTGCTCTTCCCTGTGCTGGCCCGTCACTGTTGTCAGACCGTTAGTTAGCAGCGCCGGGCGGGAGAGAGCTTACGTGTGCTACAGCAGCTGCCGTGCATGTGTGTGCCAGTCCACCCAGGTCCAGCCCGGGACCACATGCCCGGTCGCTCCAGCAAACACTGCCAGGGGTCACTCCTGAGCGCTGAGCCGGGAACAGCCCCTGAACACACCCCAGTGTGGGTCCCCCAAACCTACCACCCACTGGCCCCACCAATGTACCACAATGCTAAAGTCATTCTTTCTAAAATATATTTTTTAAAATGTCTCCAGGGGGGCTGGAGCGATAGCACAGCGGGTAGGGCATTTGCCTTGCACGTGACCCGACCCAGGTTCGATTCCCAGCATCCCATATGGTCCCCCAAGCACCACCAGGAGTGATTCCTGAGTGCATGAGCCAGGAGTAACTCCTGTGCATCGCCAGGTGTGACCTAAAAAGAAAACAAAACAAAAAGAAAACCAAAAAAGTCTCCCCAACTGAGTTTTGTTGCTTCCCCAGGGGGAAGACTGTATTCTAAGCCAAAGTCCCAGACTCACCTTCTTTTTTTTTTTAAATAATTTTTTATTCTATAAAATAGTTCACAATATTTCATGACATTTCATATTCAAACACCAACCCTACCACCATTACATTACACCTTCCCACCACCATAGTTCAGGTGTTTCCATCCTGAACCCCAATTCCTGCCCCAAAGCAGGCCTGAAATAATATATTTTGTATTGTTTGTTAGGAAAAACTGCTGAAAATGCTATGAAAAAGTATCCTGAGAGGAAAGAGGGTGAGGACTGTTGTATTCCACCCAGAGGACATTAAACCCTTTTACAAGAGATCACTAACATGTTGTTAGAGGTTGAGCCTAGTGTCCTTTTATTTATACATATGTGTATACACACATATGTATATATATAAATATAAAAATATGTGTATATATATACACACACACATATATGTATATATATATATAAAAAATAATACTTCCCTCTAAGATTGGTTACCTCCTATCTTGAACCCTGCCTAATGCGGTGCAGTACTCTTGGAGCACAGGTGGGGTGGACTCACCTTCTTCCGTGGGGTTGAACCCGCAGATGTCACAGATGCAGCGGACCCACTTGTTCATCTCCTCCTCGCTGTCGGCCACCAGGTAGAAGATGCGGTCGATGGTGTTGATGTCGAAGATGTAGCTGTTCTCGAACTCTTTCTTGTTGAAGGTCAATCCCGCGTCAACTTGCTGGCACAGGTTCAGATCAATGATGCGGATGGGCTTCTTGGCGTGATCATTCTTGTAATACTCCAGCACGTCGGGGTCCCCGGTCAGCCGGCCGCTGCGGAGCACGAACCATCGCCTCTTCCAGGCCTAGGGACACAGAGCAGAAAGCCCCCGCGCGGCGTTAACTGGAGAGAGCGCACTCAGGGAAACGTTGTGTGCGTCGCAACCATTCTGTAAATGCGTTGTGGGTGTTTTCTGTTTTCCTAGATTAATATGCCATTATGAGAAAGGTTTTTCTTTTTAATAAAAGGATGGAAAGTTTATGCCTTCGATAGATGCCTTCAATTATGCCTTCAGCTAACTGAATTAACTTCAGAGTGTGAGTGTACGCTTTCTATGGGATCTTCTGGAAGAAGATATAGATCGCTTTTAAGAGGAATCACAATGATAACATGATAACATCCTCAGCAGGTCAACAAACTGAGGCAGCCCACTGCGGTTGTTGCTTTTGCAGTGTGGACTAGCCTGGATCTAGGCAGGGCCTCAAACACGCAAAACACACGCTCTGCCTCTGAGAACCACAGGCCCCGCGAGTCTTGACTGAGCACACAAAAAGCTTGGGTTCAAGAAATGGTGGACTGTGCCCACCTGTGAAAAAATAAAGTGGGGCTATTATCTTATGTCATATAAAAGTTAGCTCAGGGATCAGAGTGAAAATACAGTGGCTAGGGCATTTGCCCTGCACACAGCCAACCTGGGTCCCAACCATGGCATCCTGCGCATCTCCAGGAGTAATTCCTGAGTGCAGAGTAACCTCTGAGCATTGCCAGGTGTGATCCAAAACACAAACAAAAAAATCTCAAACTACATCAAAGACATATATATATATATGTATGTATATATATATATATATATTGCAGCTTGTATTTTTTAAACTATTTTTTATTGAGGTACCATGATTGACAATACTTTTTATTATACTCTTCATGTATTCATCAGTTCCAATGCTTCCACCCATCACGGGAAACCTGCTTCCCTCCACCAGTGTCCTAGGGCGGCGGGGCCCTTCCCAACCACTGTCCCACAAAAGCTCAAAATCTTCAGTTACGAAAGACGCACAGGTGACTTTCATGTGAGAGCAAAACCGATTAAACTCTTTAGAGAAAAATACAGGGAAGGGCTTCATGACACTGGATTTGGCAAAAAGCTCTTGAGTGATGACAAGATCGCAGGAGATAATAATAATAATAATAATAATGATAATAATAAACAGGTAAAAAGGACTACATCAAAATGTAATATCATCCCAAGTTAAAGGTGACTATTCATAGAGTGAAAAGGTAGTAGAGAAAAATATCTGCAAGTCTGGTAAAGACACTAAAGTCTGGAATAGGTTTAAAAACTCCAATAACCCAGTGACAACAATGAAACAACCCAACAAAATAGGGCAACAGATGTGACTAGACTTGCCAATGCAGATACAAAAACTAGTGTTTTGGCACGCAGAAAGATGCTCAATGTCATTACCATTCAATGTCATTCAAGAAATGCGCATCGAAACCATGACTCATCACTTCACACAAAGTATGGCTGCCTGTATTTAAAAAAAAAAAATCCCCCAAACATTAGGTAACAAGTGTCAGTCATGTGGACAAATTGGAACTCCACTGCACTGCGAGGGGGAATGTAAAATTCCACAATACCAGAATTTAGGACTGGCCTCTGGGTTATAAAAATCTAGTTGGTTAATATAGAAGAATCTATTTACTTTAAAATAAATATCCTTATTTATAATAAATTAGTATAAAAATCAATAATTTATAATAAGTAGCGAAACAAATATAAAAATACTATAAGTATTACTTATATATCAAAATTATAATAAATACCAACATAATGTCAAAACTATGCCTTCACAGCTACTTTTTTTGGTTTTTTGGCTTTTTTTGGGGGGGGTCAGACCCGGCGTGGCACAGAGGTTACTCCTGGCTCTGCACTCAGGAATTACTCCTGGAGGTGCTCGAGGGACCATATGGGATGCTGGGAATCGAACCCGGGTCAGTCACGTGTGCAAGGCAAACGCCCGACCCGCTGTGCTATCGCTCCAGCCCCCACAGCTACTTTCAAGAGGTAAGTTAAGAATTAATAAGCAATGGGGCTGGAGTCGAGGCGGGGAGAGGAGATGTTTTCCTGCATGCGACCAAACCGGGTTCAATCCCCGGCATCCCATCTGGTCCCTCAAGCCCCACCAAGGAGGGATTCCTGAGTGCAGAGCCAGGAGTAACCGCTGAGCACCGGCCAGGCGTAGCGCCCTCAAAACAAAAAATTAACTGAGAAGTAGAGAGAACAGAAAAGCCAGTCGCTCAGGTCATTTATCCCGGCCATCAAGGAGCCGTGTCTTTCAGAAAGTGATTTCTGCCGATGGCAAAGGTTTTCTCTTTAAATACAGAAATGACTTTCTAAAACATTAATAATGTCTTGCATGGAAATCTCTCTTAAAACGCCTTGCTACATAATTCATTGCACGTAATTCATCCACTCCCCAATGACACCGACGAAGCATTTCAGGCTTTGCTCTCCAGAAGGTACTTTGGGAGGAGCTTGGGGGCCAGGCCGGGTGGGGCAGCCCCTGGTGGCCCCTCGCCTGGCACTGCTCAACCCCCTCGGAAATCATCTTTCCTCGACGTCTTACCTAGGGTTATTTCTCCCTTCAAGAACATGGTTCCCAGGAGGCCAAATTATACTGCGTGTCGCTGGCACCTGTGACTCCCAATGCAACATGTTCACCCCCTGCCCCCCACCCCTACAATTATCTCTGGGGATCACAAAAGGGCTGCCGGCCTCCCAGCGTGGGACAGCAGGATGTGAACTCCGGATTGGATGTTCTCTGCACAACTGTGCTCCTTCCTCAGCTCTCTGCCCTCTGCCCGGCCACGGCGACCCTCCAGCTTCTGTTCACTGACACCCCCCACCCCCCCACTCAACTCAGCAACCCTCAGTCTCAGTCGTGGAAGAGCTTCAGGGCTGGCCCTAGGAGATGTTACTGACAGGAGAGTGTCAGCCCTCTTAAAACCCACTCTGTAGCACCGTGAGTTGTACAACTCGAATTCTTCTATTTATTTCTTTGTTTTTCTTTTTGGGTCACACCCAGCGATGCACAGGGGTTCCTCCTGGCTCATGCACTTAGGAATTACTCCCGGTGGTGCTCAGGGGACCATACGGGATGCTGGGAATGGAACCCGCGACGGCTGCGTGCAAGGTAAACGCCCTACCCGCTGGGCTATCGCTCCAGCCCTACAACTTGATTTCTTTCTTTTCTTCCTTTCTTTCTTTTTTTTTTTAGGTGCCCACACCCAACAGAGCTGGGTGTTGGGGGTGGGGTGCGCAGACCACTCTGGAAGGCAGCAGAACCACACCCACACGCAGAACCTTGTCCAGGCCTGGCCCGGGGCAGGCGCGAGCTGGCCGCTCTTCCCAGGCAGAGGGCAGAGTCCCGCGCCTCTGACATCATCTCCTTCCCTCGCCACGTGCCCGCAGTGCCCGGCCCAAGCGCCTGGCATGGAGAAATATCTGGACAATAAACAGAACTCTCGGAGGAGGCCCGGGCCCCTCCCGCCTCGCATGTGACTGACCTAGTTTCGGTCTCCGAGCCCTGGCAGGAGCCATCCCTCCCCACGGCGCCAGGAGAGCACCCCAGCACCGCCCCAACACCAACAAACAGGCCTCTCCCCTGGAGCTGCAAACACGGGCAGGGTGGCATTCACCAACCCCCCCATCCACGTGAGAAAAAAAAAGAACTGGAGACGGAACGCAAAGGCGCTCCGAGGCTGCAGAAAAACAATCCCGGGAGTTACTGTGCGCGCATCTGCGTGGTTTGCAAAACACCTCGGGGGAAATGGCAAAAAACAGGAAGGACTGGAACGTGTGGTGCCTTCTCCCTGCTGTCTGCAAGCAGCACCTGCCCATTCCTCCTCCCCACTGCAGGCCTTTGCTCGACCCCCCCAAGCCGACCCCCCCAAGCCGACCCCCCCAAGCTGGGAAGTTGTCCTGAGGAGGGAAAGCAGACCGACAGCTGGACAAGGAGCCCTGGAGAATTCGGGGAGTCAGGCAGGAAGTGTCATCTAAGCGCTCGGCGTCCCCTCCCCACCCGCCATGGCAGGAAGTGACCACACGCACAGAGACTCCGGCCTGAGGCCGGGTAGCACCTGCCCCTTATTTATTTTTCGACAAGGTCCAAGCAGGCCACAGGGGTCTCGGGCTCTCAATCCCCGGGCTTTCGGGCGCAGCTTAAGCTGGAAAAAAAAAAAAACAAAAGCAATTACATAAACCACACACTCTCCAAAGGCAGATACAAAGGTCCTCTGGCTTGGGACACAAAGCACAATGCAGCCACAGAAGAAAGCTGGACGCAGGACAGAACAGCCGGCCTCAGCGCCCTTGCTCAGCGCGGCACAAAGGCCGTCTGTGTCGGGGCCGGAGCCCCCCGCGGGCCCGCATAAATCGGCCTTTGTTATCTGAAAATATCTGGGATTCTTAAAGCGGGTCCTATTTTTATCCCTGCTGCCTTGGTAGCCCCAAGAACGCTGGACACGGCCTGAGCAGAACCGTGGGCCTGCGGGGGTGCGGGCGGCGAGAACCTGTTTTGTAGAAACTCTCCCTATCAGAACTGCCCAATCCTCAGACACACACACACACACACACACACACACACACACACACACACACACACGGGGAGGGGCCAAGGCGGGAAGAGGGAGTCAGGTTTTGTGCTCATCCGTCCTTCCTGCTCTCCTTGTGGTCCCGATGATGCTTGGGAATCACTCCTGGCAGTGCTTGGGGGACCATTTGGGATGTCGGGGATGGAACCCAGATCGGCTATGGGTGAGGCCTACACCTTCCCCGCCGTCCTAATGCTCTGGTCCCAGCACACAGATGTCTTAGAGGAACGAGGCTAGAAAGCAGCATGGTCAGCTCGGAGATGAACCCTGACGATGTCGGCCTACCCGAGGGGGCCAGCCCGGATCCCGGCTAAAGGCGTCCTGCTATTAGGGCTCAGGCGATGGCACAGTGGGTAGGGTGTTTGCCTTGCATGTGGCCGACCCAGGTTCGATTCCCAGCATCCCATATGGTCCCCTGAGCACCGCCAG